GTATATTCTTGCCTCCTTTGTTGTAGTTTAATTGACCATAGGTTCATGGGTTTATTTCTGGGCTCTCTATCCTGTTCTATTGATCTGTGTCTGTTTTTGTGCCAGTACCACACTGTTTTGATTACTGTAGCTTTGTAGTATATTCTGAAATCAGGGCACATGGTTCCTCCAGCTCTGTTCTTTCTCAAGATTGTTTTGGCTATTCGGGTTCTTTTGTGTTTCCATACAAATTTAAAAATTCTTTGTTCTAGTTCTGTGAAAAAGGCCATTTGTAATTTAATAGGAATTGCATTGAATCTGTTGATTGTCTTGGGTAGTGTGGTCATTTAAACAGTATTGATTCTTCCAATCCAAGAACGCAGTATATCTTTCCATCTGTTTGTGTCATCTTCAGTTTTGTTCATCAGCATCTTATAGTTTTTGGAGTACAGGTCTTTTGCTGCCTTAGGTTTATTCCTAGGCATTTTATTCTTTCTGATGCAATGGTAAATGGGATTGTTTCTTTAATTTCTCTTTCTATGCCTTTATTTATTTTTTAAAGGAATATTTATTTATTTATTGCCACGTTGGGTCTTCATTGCTGCGCTCGGGCTTTCTTTAGTTGCGGCGAGCGGGGGCTACTCTTTGATGCCGTGCACAGGCTTCTCATTGCGGTGGCTTCTCTTGCTGTGGAGCACGGGCTCTAGGTGCACGGGTTTCAGTAGTTGTGTCTCGCGGGCTCTAGGAGCACAGGCTCAGTAGTTGTGGCACACAAGCTTAGTTGCTCCGCATCTATGCCTTTATTTTTTAAAGGGTGTTTTCTTTGGATGTAGAATGCTAGGTTGACAGCTTTTTATACTTGGCAGTTTAAAGATGTCGTTGCAGTGTTTTCTGCTTGTTGCATTGTTTCTGACTGAGTGTTGGTGCTCGTTCTTATCCTTGTAAACCGTGTGTAGCATCACCCTTTTTTTCCCTACCTTTAAGGTTTTGTCTTCATCTTTAGTGTCGGCAGTTTGGCCATCACATGGTGTTTTTTGTGTGTGTTTGTTCTGCTTGGAGTTCTTTAAGCTTCTTAGATGTATGGGATGATAGTTTTAATCAAACCTAGTACATTTTAGGCCATTCTTTCTTTCTTTTTTTTTGTCTGTGCCCCGCGGCATGCGGGATCGTAGTTCCCCGACCAGGGATCGAACCCACGCCCCCTGTGTTGAAGCGCAGAGTCCCAACCACTGGACCACCAAGGCCGTTATGTCTTTAAAAAGTTTTTCTGCATAATCTTGGCCCTCATTTCCTCTGGGACTTCTTTGCCCGCTAGGTCACTGAGGCTGTATTTGGTTTTTTCCTCCGATCTTTCCTCTCTGCAGTTCATTTTTATGATTCCTGTTACATTGTTTTCAACTCTACTGCTCTTTTCTTTCTTATGTTTAATGTGCTCTTAAGCCTATTTAATGAATTTTCCACTTCAGATATTGTATTTTTCAGCTCTAGCGTTTCCATTTTTCTTTATAGTTTTTCTTTTCTGTAGAGATTCCCCATCTGCTCAACCATTATGTCCATCTTTAAGTCTTAAATGTATTTATAACAACTGTTTTGAACTTCTTGTATGCTAATTGAGTGTCTAGTTCATTTCTGGGTCTTGTTTCTTTTAACTTTTCCCCTGAGGATGCTTCTTATTTTCCTGCTGTTCTGCTTGTCTAATAATTTTTTTTTAATTAAATTTATTTTTGGCTGCGTTGGGTCTTTGTTGCTGTGCACGGGCTTTCTCTGGTTGCGGTGAGCGGGGGCTACTCTTCGTCACGGTGCGGTGGCTTCTCTTGTTGCGGAGCACGGGCTCTGGGCTTGCGGGCTCTGGAGCGCAGGCTCAGTAGTTGCGGCGCATGGGCTTAGTTGCTCCGTGGCATGTGGGATCTTCCCGGACCAGGGCTCGAACCCGTGTCCCCTGCACTGGCAGGCGGGTTCTTAACCACTGTGCCAGCAGGGAAGTCCCTTGAGTATATTTTTGATGTCTCTTCAACTGTTGTCTCCAAATACTGATTCTGCCCAATCCCTCCCCCTTGCCTCCTCCTCTGGACGACAGTTACACGGTCCTTAGATCTTTTCCCTGTCTCCTGTCCTACGTCTTCCATCCTTTTGTCCTTTCGTGTTCTAGTCTGGGTACTTATTTTCTGCGTAATCTCTCACTGATTCTCCTCCAGGAGCTGCAGCGGCTGGAGACAGAGCTGGGCCGACCCCCTGAGCGCTGGAAGGATGCCTGGGATCGGGTGAAAGCTGCCCAGCGCCTCGAAGGCCGGCAAGACGAACGTGTGAGCGGGGGTGGGTGTGGGGGGCTGGGGTGGGCTTGCTGCCAGGAGGAGGTGGAGGCCACCCCCTGACACGGGCCCACCCTCCCGCCCCCAGGGCACCCCCAGCTCCCTGTTGGTGTCCAGCGTGCCCCACCACCGCCGCTCGCTGGGTGTGTACCTGCAGGAGGGACCCGTGGGCTCCACCCTGAGCCTCAGCCTGGACAGCGACCAGAGCAGCGGCTCAAGCGCGTCCGGTCCCCGCCAGGCCGCCCGCCGCAGCGCCAGCGCCCTGTACGGCCAGTTCCGGACAGCGGAGAGTGAGAGCAGGTGTGAGAGGCGGCTCTGCGCCACGGACGCCTCTGAGCTGGGGCCTCGGCTCTCGATGGGTGCGGGCAGGTGCCTTCGGGGAGCGCCTAGTTATTTCTTAGGTGGACTGATTTGCCGGGGAGGCCATGATGGTGGCCTAAGCCGTGACCGTTGCTGGGGAGAAGCAGGTGGGCTTAGAAGGGGTTTGGGATATAGAACCGGCGACCACAGCCAGGCCACGGTGGCTGCGGAGGAGGAGAGGGACAGGGACCATGGGATACCTTTGAGGGTGGGGCAGCTTCCAGCAGAGGCTGGGGCCCGGCAGGCTGCATCCCACCCTCTGGGCCTGGAGGGGCCACGTTGCCGCAGTCGCCTCCCCAGACCTGCCTGCTCCGTGTCAGGGGCCCCTGCTCTGCATGTAGGGCTGTTTCCCTGAGACCCTGAGGCTCTGGTGTGGGACCCTCCCAAGTGTCTGTGCTGTGACGGGCGTGAGGGGGTCCTTTCCCAGTGCTCCGGGCTTGGGTCAGTCTGGGGACAGGGGCCTCGGTCTTGCTGCTGGGGCTGGCGGGGGCGGGGAGGCGGGGCCGTTGCCGGGCCCTGATGGCTGTTCTGGCCGGTTCTTCTGCAAACGCAGGTCCTATGAGGGCACCCTGTACAAGAAGGGGGCCTTCATGAAGCCCTGGAAGGCCCGCTGGTTTGTGCTAGACAAGACTAAGCACCAGGTGAGTGGTCAGCGGGCTGGCTGGGGTGGGGAGTCGAGGGAGCCCTGCCCTGACCTCCTGCCCCTGCTCAGCTGCGCTACTACGACCACCGAGTGGACACGGAGTGCAAGGGCTTCATCGACCTGGCGGAGGTAGAGGCTGTGGCGCCTGGCACTCCCACTCTGGGTGCCCCCAAGACCGTGGACGAGAAGGCCTTCTTTGACGTGAGCTGTGGCTGGGGCGCCGGGGGATGGGGGGCGCGGCTTGGGGAGGCGGCGGCCCGCGTGGGGCCGTGGAGTCAGTGTCCCGCGTCCCCAGGTGAAGACGACGCGTCGTGTTTACAACTTCTGTGCCCAGGACGTGCCGTCAGCCCAGCAGTGGGTGGACCAGATCCAGAGCTGCCTGTCAGACGCCTGAGCCCGGTCCTGCTCAGCGGCTCTGTGTCCAGTCGTTACAGACCACTAGGGGTGGGCAGGGCCCCCCGGCCCTGTTTACAGCCCCCCCCCCTGACAGGATTGAGGCCCCCCCCCCCAAAGTGTGTACAGCCCCCCCCCCCCCAACCGCCCCCGCCCCGCCCGGCCAGCTCTAACTCATTTTGGAGCCCTGGCTGAGCACCCGCCGGGAGCAGCCACGGTACAGCCCTCGCGGTGGGCCTGTAAATATCCCCTCTCCTGCCCTGTCAGCGTGCTGGCCCCGGCCGGCCAGCCGCAGACAGCCTGTTCCTAGAACCAGAGTCTATAAAGAGCGCTAATGACACGCCGCACGCCTGCGTCTCCTCTGTGTCCTGGGGCCGGGGTGGGCGGCGGGGGCCAGCATCACCAGGCTTTTGCTTGGTGCCCGGCCACCCATCCCTCCAGGCCTCAGAGGCGATCCTGGGGCTGGTGCGGAAGGCGCCACCTAGAGGTGTGTGTGTTGTGAAGAAGGGGGTACCGGGGAGCTGTCCGGAGTCCAGAGTTGCTGGTCCCTACCCTGGTCAGATGAGAGTCAGTCAATGGGATGGGATGGGATGGATGGAGGAGTGGGACGGGGCCTGAGGAGGGGGAGACACCAAAGAGGGTGGGCTCTCTGGAGAGCAAGGGTGCTTTAGGACTTGACGTGGGGGGCTTATGTATGGGGAGGTGGGGCACAGGGACCCGACGGCCTCCGTTACGGGCACTTGGCTCCAAACGCCTGTCTCTGTCTCTCCCCTGGGGTCCTGACCGTCCTCACCGCCGCCCCCCCCCCCCAGTCTTGGCTGTAACGCAGGTCACTCTCCCATTCAGACGTGAGTCCCACCCAGGCTAGGGCCTTACTAGCAACGGGTGCCAACCAGGGGCGGGGCAGGGCCGGGTGGGCAGCAGGTGGGGTGTGTGGGGCGGAATGTGGCACCGCGGAGGCTGGGAGAACATCCCAGAGTGGTCAGGGTGGCGGCCACAGCTCCTGGTCAGGGGGGCTGGTGGTGCGGGGGACCCGGCCGGCAACGGCACCCGTCAGTGGGAGCTAAGGCGGGGCTCACCCAGGTCCTCCCTGGGCACACGGACAGCCGTCAGGCTGACATTCCTGTTGCCCAGGAACCTGTGGGTCTGGGGTCCCTGCCCGAGACGCAACCTCCAGGCAGAGTTTGTTTCACAAAGAAAAAAGAGCTCAGTCTTTACTCAGGAGTTGACTCAAAGACGGGCCCAGGAGCAGCAGACGACCCCCGCTGCCAGCCGGGTTGGGGCTCCAGGGCCTGCAGCGTAACAATACGCGGGTCTGTCGGTGAGAATAACAACTTTTATTGGGAGTCGTGGGGTCTGGGTGCCCTGTCAGATCATCAGAACAGTAACATGAGATACCCCGCCCTCCTCGGCAGGTACAGGGTAGCCCTCCCATGCCCGGGCACTGCTGGGCCCTCTGCACCCTGTCCTGCACGCCCGTGGCCAGCTCCTGCCAGGCACCCCCCCCCCCCCCACTGCCCACTGCGGACAGCCTGCCAGGCCGCGGGGGGCTTGTTTTTTTTTAAGGCAGTCACGTTTGCAGCCTGGCTCAAGGCCAGCTCCCAGGGCCACCGGGCAGCTAAAACCCCGTCTGGCCAGTCCAGTTCGAGACCCACATTTGTCCCCAGAGCCTCAGAGACCCTCTCCTGCGCTAGAATAAAAAGTGCAAACACGTGGCTCTCTCCGCGTTTGTTAAAAAACGGATAAAAACAGGCTCAGAGCCTGTGGCGCAGGCAGAGCCCCTGTCTGAGGCCTTATTGCTGTGTGTGGGGCTGGACCCTCAAGGCCCACCCGGAGTCAGGCAGGAGAAATGCAGGCTGGGCCGTCTGACTGGTTCCAACTGCCAGCTTTACCAATGCAGCATTTATTTTAAAATTAAATTAAGTTAAATTAAAGAAGACACACTGCGTCACCAGGTAGTTCTCTTGGTTGGGGCGCCAAGGCCGGGCGGCGGCAGCATCACACGAGGCCATTTAAGGCGTTTCCCGCGGGCGGAGGCCCGTCAGTCTGCCTGCAGGGGTGGGTAGGAGTCGCTCAGGGCAAGGGTCCCCCCACCCAGCCCCTCCCCTGGTCCGACCTGCTCACCTGTCCTTCGTCACCGTCCCCAGGGTGGCCGCCGTGGAGACAGCTGGGGCTGCAGGGGTGACGGCCACGGCCAGCACAGGAGAGACTGCCGGGGTGGCTGGGGCGGGGCCGGTGCTGCCCGGTACTGTGGTGGCCGCCACGGCAGCCTCGGGGAGGACGGCCCCGACTGGGGCAGAGGTCACTTCCACAGGCGCAAGGGAGGCCAGGTCTGGAGGCGTGCTGGCGGCGCGCTCAGCCCTGTGTGGCAGACAGGCTCCAGTTTCTGGACCACCCCCGCTGGGGCTCCACCCTGCAAGGTGGCCCAGGCCCCTCTGCCACCCCAAGTTCCAAACACGCCAGAGACCGCCTGTCAGTCCACCAGAGCGTTGAGCCTCCTTCCCAGCAGCACTCATCCCGGGCATCCCGTCCCCCTCGGCCCCCTCCAGACGGCCCTCGCCACACCCCCACCCCGGTCTGGAACATGCCCCTTAGGTGCTCCTAGCAACCCTCACCACTCTGTGGACCACACAGGCCCAGAGCCCTTCCCTGGAACACCTCTCAGGCCACGTCTGTCCACAACACTCCCACCGCCCACACCTAGAAAGGCTGAGTGCGGGAGGCAGGCGGCCTCGGGACACCCAGCCCTGGCACTCAGCTCTGGTCTGGGGGCCCAGAGAGCAAGCCCACGGTCCCCCCACCAGCCCACACCTGCCCAGCGCCTGCTTCTGCTGTGTGACGTCTCCTCCAGCCCGGCACTGACCCTCGCGAGCCAGTGAGGGCAGAGCCTGGAGACAAGCCCCGCGTGTCCCCCCACAATGGCCCAAGGCTCGCGAAGACCGCCCTGAGGACCAAAAGGCTTTGCTTTCGGAACAACAACTGCTTCTCGGAGCCGGGTGGGTTTTGGGGGAACGGGGAGTTAGGAAGAGGTAAAGGTTTTAAGAATTTCGATGACTCTAAGCTTCAAGAAGGAATCAAACCGTTTGGGAGCCGCGTGTACACCTTTACCCCAGCGCTGAGGTTCTCCCCGGGGCCAGGCGTCAAGCTCGCCCCACCCTGCAGCGGCGGCGTGAACCGCCCCTCCCCCGACACGCACTGCGCAGCTTGACTCTGCTCCCTCCAGGCTGTGCCCACTGCCCCGAGCCCCAGCGCAGGGCGCCAGCGGGGATGGGCGCGCCCTGGGGTCCTGGGAGCTAGACTGGACCCCCAGCGTCAGCAGGGACGCTCCAGGGTCACTGGGTGGGGACCTCACGGGAGCAGCACCGTCAGTCTCTGCTCCTCATCCCCTCGTGGGGGTCTGGGCTGGCCCCCCGGCACCCCGCCCCAGCCCCTTCAGGCCTTGACCCCAGCACCGCCTTCTCCCTCACGTCCCACCAGCCCTCCTGCCCTGTTCCGTCTTCACCGCACACGGTTCCTCACGCTGCCCCCCCCCCCCCCCCACCAGGAGGCACGTGTCCACCAGCCGACCCCAGAGGCCCGGACCTGCCCCCTGGGCGCAGGGGTGGGGTGCACGGGCCAAGCCTGCAGGGAGGACGACCCAGGTCAGGGCCCCAAGCAAAGTCCCAAAACACCCCCGTCCTCCCGGTCCAGCGTGATGGACACGTGTGTCCGAGGCGCCCGGCTGAGGTGGGCGCAAGTCTGGGACTAGGCACCCGCCCCAGGAGAGCGGCAGCTCCAGAGCGCACCCGGAACCCCAAAAGCCTGGCCATTCTCTCCGACGCAGCCTGAGGCGGGCTGGCCCCATGCTGTCTCAACGGCCACCCCAGCTTCCACCTGGACGAAGCGGTGTCCCTCCTGTCCAAAGCTGACCTCCAAGGAGTCACGGGGCCATCAGGACAGGAAGGTCGGCCTGCCCCTGGGCCAGCGGAGTGCTGCGGACAGCCAGACCTCCGTGTGCACCCGGGGGCCCGCCACCCAGCCTGTCCTGCTCACCTGGGGACTAACACCGGCGGCGGAGGAGCCTCCCGACCGGGACCCATCCTCACAGCCTCCGAGGCCAAAGCCACCTTCTGCTTGTCCTCTCGGCTGCTGGAGGCCACCAGGGGCGCCTTCCTGGCAACACATGCGTTCCAGGCACCCAGAGTGGCCGGGCCAGCTGCAACACAGGGAGCCGGCGACACCAGATGAGGACAGAGCGACCAGTATGGCGCACGCGGGAACTTCAGCCCGCAACTGGTGACAGACCTGTCCCCCACACCCACTGCCGCGTGCGTGTGACGTGCACACGTGCGTCTGTGAATTCACAGGAACTTCAGGAGGAACGGTCCTCCCTGCAGGGAGGGCCAGCACTCAGCCTTGTGGCTGGCTTCCAAGTCCCTCCCCGTGTGGCCCTGATACCTTGGGGGGCTTCCAAGCCCATCTGACAGGGAGCTCAGGGCCAGGGCCCTGAACAGCTCCCAGGACAAGCACTGGGGTGGCGCGGCGCACACGTGTGATCCACACCTAGCAGGCGGCCAGGCCTGGGGAGACAGGCTCTGCCTGGGGTCCTGGCGACACAGACGGGTGTGGGCTGGTCGGACCTGCGCACTGAGGCCAGCCCGAGGGCCCCGCTGGCCGTCCTGTGCCTGGAGCCGGGGTCCTGACCCCTCCACACACCCACTCCAGTCCCCGCACGTGGCGCAAGCGCCAACATCACCAGGGCAATACAGCGGCCCCGAGGTCTTGGCCTCCCCCTCCCGCCCCCCCTGCCCCTGGGGCCGCCCCTACTCACGGGTTCTCTCTGGGCCCCGGTTCAGGCCACCCTGGGCATCGCCGTGACCTCTGTCCACGGGGGAGCTGCACCTGGGCCCCGACTCAGAGCTGCAGACGAGGCCAACTCTGAGCCCACGCCCAGGAGACCCGGCCCCCAGGCAGCCGGGGCCGCCCTCCGCCCCAGCCCCGCCTCACCAGCAGAAAGGCTGGAAGTCGGCAAACTTGGCCCAGCCTCTCTCCTCCGCAGCCGAGGCGCTGGGTGCGCTGGCCGCCCACACACTGGAACCCACGTCCATCGCCACTGCCGGGGCCAGGCCTGAGGCTGTGGAATTCACTGGCTCATCAGACACCGTCCAGGGGGCGCCTGCTGGGGGAGACGCGGTGTCCAGGCCCCTTGACCAGCACATGACCGGTGGTGGAGGCCCCACAGCAATGGTGTGGGTGTGCCTTCCCCCACGGTACTGGGGGACACCCGCCTCTAGCCGTGACAGCGTGGCCAAGAGTGACCGTGACGGGGCGGGAGACCAAGGGCATGTGAGCGTGTTTGAAAGTGTGTGCCGGGGGGTCAGTGGGCATCAGGCCCACAGCAGCCCAGCCACACACACACACACAGGCCCACAGACCAGGGCACCAAATCCTCTGTCCCCCATGTTCCCGCCCAAGCCCCTTGCCCGGCCCGCACCCTGTGGCCCCATCATCTACCTTCTGAGCCACCCTCAACACGAGGACCTTCCTTCTGGACGGCAGCCCGAGGGGCGCCCGCCCGAGCCCCGTCCCCGTCTGCTTCCGAGCTCTCCTCCCCACCTTGGCCTCGGTGCTCCAGGCCGTCCTTCCGGCAGCTCTCCGAAGCGTGAGGGCCCCCGAACCTGGGGGGAGACCCACGGTCAGAGCAGCCCTTCCCGCCTGCCCAGGGCGCCACGGCACGGCTGAGACAGGGCTGGTGCCCGTGTGGTGCCCAAGCCCACCTGGCTCTGGTCACTCGGGCCACACAGTGTGTCTCCTCATCCTCCCAGAGGTCGTCATCCTCGTCGAAAGGCTGGATGTGGTCACTGCAGCAGGCCTCAAACAGAGCGGCACCGGGCTGCAGGAGAGCACACGTGGGCCACATGGCCCCCACACACCCGGCCACCCCCAAGGGGCATCCACGGGACTCACGCTTTCCTCGTCAGCGTCGACGCTGAAGTTGATCTCCGCGATCCTGTCAAATGGGGCGCTGCGAGGACAACAGGGATGCCGTCAAGTCCTCCCAGGAGGGAGAGAAGGGGTAGGCAGCCCACCGAGGGAGGCAAAGGCAGGGGCGGGGGGCCAGGGCTGCAGGCCGAGCCCGGGTGGGTGCACGGGCTCCCCTCCCACCTCTGGATGGGCGGCTAGGGGTGACTCCCACCCAGCTGCTCTGCCTCCCCAGAGGGCGGCTCCAGGCCGTTGGGTCACATGTGGCTTCCAGCTGAGCAAGTGGTGTGATGGCCCTGAAGGCCAGGCAGGGCTGAGCCAGGTCAGGGACCTGGTCACACCGAGCAGAGCCCGGCTCCCTCCCAAAGGCACGAGGGTGAGGCAGGTGGGCGCGTCCCGCTGGGCTCACTTGATGCTGTCGTCCTGCTCAGCGAACTCCTCGTCGCTGAAGCCAAACTGGTCCACGAAGGTGGCCGTCATCTGCTGGACCTGGTACTCGGAGAAAGCCTGGGCAACAGGGCCGTGGCCGCTCTCAGGAACCCCCCTGGTGCTTCAGCGGCTTCTCCCAGGTCCTGCCCTCTCGGCTGGGCACCCATAGGCAGCCATGTCCAAATAGCCTGTGACTCTGACTTTCCATTCGCCCACCACGTCCCCAAGGGTCTCATCAATGTCAAGTGGCCCTGCGGGCGCCCCCTAAGCAGAGGAGGGTGGGGCTGCACCCCCTGCAGAAGCGGGGGGATGAGCACCTCCCCGGCCCCGCCCGAGGCTCTGGTGACGCGTGCAGGACACTCCCGAGGCCTAAGCGCTGCCGAGAGCGTGGGGATGAGGGGCCTGGCCTCACGCACCTGCTGAAGGGACAGCTCATTAGGGAAAACGCCCTCCATGTCCTCATCCTCACTCGAGGGGTGAAGATGGTGGGTGCTAACCTGCAACAGCCAGGGTGGGCGGGCATGAGACAGCGTCTGGGGCCATGCCGACCCACCCTCCCTTGCAGGGCGTGCCGGGCCTCGGGCACCAGGAGTCCCGCAAGCCCAGGTCGGGCAGGGACCAGGGCGGGGACAGCGCTCTGCCCAGGGGGCCCCCCACTCTCGGCCGGCCTGGGGCCTGCTCACCAGGTCCACCGCGTTCCTGCGGTTGGCCTCCGTCAGCGTCTCCTCCACAAAGCTCTCCCAGCGCCCGCGGCAATCCGAGGGGAGCCCTGCAGGGAAGGCTGCCTGGTGAGCCCTTGGGATGGAGCCAGCAGCTGCATCCTGGTCCCGCGAGGGCTCACAGGCCGACCGGGGAGCCCCGGGGACACAGGAACCACGGGGCACGGGCACGTCCCTCTTGGCCTTACAGGCCCAACCCAGCAGGCCTGGGTGTGTCTGTTTTTCTGGGGAGGTCGGAGCCCAGAGACGTTCACAGTCCAGAAAGAGAGAGCTTCACACTCGCCCCCAACCCCACACCGGGCCATCCTGGGTGCGCACGCTCGTCAGAGGTGCTGACGGGCTGGGGGCCGGACTGAGAGCAGCCCGCTCGTGTCAGAGGGCCCCGCCCGCCCCCCCCCCCCTCCCCGGAGCCTCCTGGCTCACAGCTGCCCTGGGACCACAGGGGGCCATGGCCAAGGTCACCATAGGGGCAACTAGGCGAGGGCACGGGGGCGGGGGGCCATGGAGGCCACGCCCACTGCACGACCAACTGGACGTCTGCGGGGCAGCTTCCCCAGCCCAGGACAGGGACAAACCCAGCACCTCCCCTGCCTGCCCCGGATTCAGGGCACCACAGCCCCCAGAAGGGATGGGGATCACCCCGCCCCGACAGCACACACGGCGCTCAGGGGCCCCCCAGACGGTGCTCACTCCTGCTCGCTGTTCACTGAGCACACGCGTCCCCCTGCCCCCTGGCCAGCCCTGTCCTCAGGCCCCCACACAGCGCGGGGGACAAACTGTCTTGGCTGTGAAACCAGCACGAGCCCCCAAGTGCCCTCAGGGTCCCAGCCTCTGTGGCCGTCACCGTCCATCACCCTCAGGCCGCCCCGAGCGCACGCCCCTGCTGTCACCCTGTCACCACGTGCTGCTCGGGCTGGCCCGGCGTCCTCCTCCCCAAGAGGCCACACAGGCCCTTCTAAGCTGCCCGCCTTCTCGCATCTGAACCAAGATCCCTCGGGCTCTCCCCAGCTCAGGCCAGAAAGCCCAGTGCCTGGGAGCTGCAGACTGGGCGCCCAGAACGTGCGAGGGCTGGGAAGGGGCATGGGCGGCGGCTCCCCACTCGGGGCCCCGGATCGCGACGAGGAGGCCCGTGGGGTATGAGGGAGAGCAAGCCTGGCCAGGGTGGCCTCTGCTCAGGTCCTGCGGCCGCTCCCCAGATGAGCCACAAGCTCAGAGAAGAGCCGGACGGCGGAGCAGGAGAGCAGGCGTTTGGGCCGGCACGGGCGGCCCAGGGCACAGAGGAGGCTGCCGCCCAGGCCCAGGCGCAGCTGACAGGACAGCCCCCGTGGCAAAGGGGGGGCCAAGTGTGTGGCACCAGTGCTGGTCCCGTCCGCCGACGGGCCAAGGGCAGGGGCGGGGCACCTCGGGCGGCGACACCTGGGCCTGGAGGCGCTCACCTCGGAGGACCTCGCTGACCTGGGTCTGCACGGGGCCCCCCTCCAGGCTCTGCACCACTGCGTTGGCGATCCGGGTGAGATGGCCCATGTTCCCGCGCCTCATGCCACCCGCTGCCCTGAAAGAGAGGGTGGCGTCAGGCCTGCCGCCGGCCCTCCTCCGCGGTGCCTCCAGCCGGCCCGGCCTCGGCTCTGTGGCCTCCTCCCCGCGGGCCCCACTGCCCTGCGAAGCCGCCTCGTGGCCTCGCCTGCAGGCTGCTTACTTTTGGAGCACCTGCTCCGCACCCGCGTCGCTCCGCTCCCTGCCTACAGGTGAGGCGGGCACTTGCCGCTCCCACTCTGCACAGACCACCAGACCCGCGCCCGGCTGGGGCTGCGAGTGTTGAGCAGGCGCGTCCCGAGCCCCCAGAGAAGACCGAGGGTGGGCCCAGGACCCGGGAGTAGGCAGAGCAGCAGGGGCAGCGGGCTGTCTCCCATCCACCTGCACGTCCCGCCCGGCCGCAAACACGTGGCTCTCCCCCACTTCTCATCTCTCCCACACAGGACCCAACAGAGCAGCAAGTCTTCAGATCCCTGAAGCAGCAGGAAGGGCGTCAGTTGTGAGACTCTGGCGCGTCCGTTACAGAAACACAGCCCTTGGGTCCCAGAGTGGACAGCGCTTGCTTTCAACAGTATTCTCTCTCTTCAGAGCGTGACGACAACCAGAGAGGAAGCGAAGGTGGTCCCCAATCGGTGGGCCCACCCGGCAAAGGAAGGGGGTCAGGAGAGACTGGGCAGAACTGGCCCAGACGCGAAGCCGGGCTGAGGGTGGAGGCCTGTGAGCGGCTGTCCAGGTCGCGGGAGAACCGCGCTGAGGCCGAGGCCTGCAGGCATCCAGGCTCACACGCCCGTCCACGGCTTACTATGGCCCAAGGACCCCTCGGTGACAGCAGTGAGCCGTCCCCTCACACAGGCACACACCTGTGCACCAACACACAAAACATATACAGGAGCAGACTCAGCACAGGCCTCCCTGGGCACTATGCACACCGGGCCCAGCAGAAGGCGGAGCGGCCCCATCTTGCTTGTTGCTACTTGGGAGCGGACGCAGATTTGTGGGTTCAGTAACAGCAGGACAGAAGGGATGAACTAGGTGCGGTCGCAGAGCTCTCCTCACCTGCCCAGAGCAGCCCCTGGCAGGGCAGAGTAGGAGCACAGGGGGGCCAGGGCTGCCCACCGGACCCGACCCTGCAGTTACACCAGGGACCTGGGCAGTCAAGGCTTTCAAGCAGGAAGTGACACCGCCTGCTGGTTTCAGCAAGATCCCAGCTTATCGGCAACGAGAGGGCAGATGGGGGAAGAGGGAAGCAGAAAGGGGCCCGGATGCTCTTTCAAGGGTCTGAGGCTTCAGTAAGAGAAGTGGCTGGAGGCTGGGATGGGGGACGTGGGAGGATTCGGGACACAGTGCAGGCACAGGACTGGGGTCTCTGCTGATGGACGGGCAAGGGAGGAAGAGGGTGAGGGGCCCATGGAGCCAGGGTCCGGGCTGTGCAGGCCGCGTTACCCTGCCCCGCGCCCTGGCCCCGCCAGCAGCACTGCAGCTGCTCCCACAGCGGTGGGACCCTTCCTTGAAAACAAACCCTCCATGGCAGCCCTGGAGCCCCACGCAGAGCCCCAGTGGTCCTTACTGTGTGTGGTCATTGGCTTCCCAGGCCTCCAGGATCCTCTGGACCAGGCAACACTTCTGGAACAGCTGGCAGACAGGTGGCACGGCTCAGGGCCAGCAGGGCTGCACGCTCCCCTCCACCCAGCCCTGGACTGAGTGGGCTTAGCAGGCAGCAGGCGCACACATCAGCCCCAAGTTCACTGTGGGCGGCAAAAGCATCACAGCCCAGCCCTGCGGTCCCCGTCCGACGCCCCGGTAGGCTCTGCTCAGGCTCGTCCACGTGGCGACGGGAGCCGAATCAGGACACTCTCATCCCCTCAGCCTTCCGGCGGTCGTGTCCTCCCCCTCGGGCCACTCTCCTGCCTTCTCCGTCCAGGAGGAAGAGGCCGGCGGCCCCAGGGCTCACTTGCTTCCAGGCCCTCACACAGGCAGCTTCCCGTAACTGGAATGTTTGCTCCGGGCCCCAAATCGCACGCCCACCCCACGTGTGGCCTATCTGGGTGAGGGTCCCTTGCTGGCCTGCATGGCCGCTGCACACACCCACCCCCGTGGCTCTCATCACTGAAACCGCCCACTCCTGGCTATTTACCCCCTTGGCTGTGTTCCGGCTCAGGCCTGCAGGTGCAGCCCTTCTCGACCCTCTCCCAGGTCTCTGGTCAGGGGCCCCGTTGCCAAGCCCCTCCTGTCTGAGCCTTGCAGCCACCCGGGGGTGGGGGGCAGAGCCGACCCCCAGGGCCCCGCACGCATAGGTGGGCTCCTTGGCTTGGGGACCGCCTGTGCCGCATGCTCCACCCACGTGCTGCTTCCTTCTTCCTTCCTTAGCGAACACCCACTAAGGCCGACTCCCTGCAGCCCCGCGCGCGGCCACTCAGGATGCTCTTGCTCGCGGCCCCGGGAAGGGCGACCACAGCGGGTCTCCACACAGTGTGCTCGGGTGAGCGGGAAAGCGTCAGGGAAGAGGCGGGCCGTGCAGAGCATCCACACTTTCCAGAGGCTCAAAATCCCAGAAAGTCTTCTTGTGAGAACTGGATATGTTCACCCCTCCCCTGGCACCTCCCCGGCACGGCATTCACACCATGACGGGGCTGCTTGCCCTCACGGCCTGGAGGAGCCGACCCGGGGGCAGCAACGGGGCTTCTTCTACACCCCTCCGGGGCCCTCCACTCCACCGGCTCTGGGGCCCTGGCAAACATGGACACCTTCTTTGGGATTTCCCGTCTCACGGGTGAAAGGAGAGCAGCTCACCCCGTGTCACGGGAGGATTAGAGGAGAAAGCACACGAGGGCCCAAAGCAACGTTAATGTCCACATGGTCTGGGTGGGGTTCAGCACACGCAGCAATACACAGGATGCACAGGACACGCAGTGACAGGACATGCAGGAAACAGCTACACGCGTGACGCTGCCTGGACCTACGTGGGTCACCATCGTGCTCTCAGGGCGGCTGGCGGCAGGCTGGGGGGTCTCTGGGTCCCCGCTGGAGGGCGGAGGCTCCACCGCGCCCTCAGGTCCGCTGGCCACGGCCCTGTCCTCCCGGGCAGAGTGGGACAGGATGGCGGCTATGCACAGCTCCACTTGGAAGTGCAGGAAGTTATTCCAGGCGTACTTAACAAACAGGTCCTGGGGAGACAGAGGGTGAGGGAAGCCCCGTGTCCTGCAGGCCGAACGTGAGGGGCCCTGCTGCCCTGCCCACCTCCCCGTGCTGTGTCCTGACGTCCGGGCGGCCACGGGCCTTCCATCTCCATCCGGCTCCGTAATCTCTGCTCGTGTGACCGCTTCCTGTGGTTTCCTTATCCTCTGTCCTAGGTTAGAAGCTTCACCCGCAGACCCTCAACCTCCCTCCTTCTCCAGTGCATCTTGACAAGGCTGTAGGCCTCCCTGTAAAATCCACCGCAGCTACACTCTACACATTTTGCTATGTAGTATTTTTATCGTCTTTCCTTTATGATTTTATCTTTGACCCACAAGTTACTGGGAGTGTGTTCAATTCTCCAACCCCTGGGGATCCTATCCAGGAGGGCCATGAAATCAGGAGGTGCACACATGGACACTCCCCAAGGGAGCCCCAAGGGGCCCAAACAGAAGCTCCCAGGCAGACGCCCCCGAGGAGGCTGAATGGGCAGCTGCAGCCCCTCTGCCATGGCCTTTTCCAGACCTGCCCCTGAGGCGAGCAGAGCGGCACCAGCAGGGAGGCGGGAGAGGCACACCTGCCACGTCCACATGGCCACCTCACACCCAGCAGGGTCCACAGCTGCCTGCACCCCACACCCTCTGCTGCCTACACGGAAGGAAGCGGGCTGCACACGATGGGGAGATGGGGCTGGGGAAAGGGGTGTAGGCTCCAGCCCAGGATATAAGTCTGGACCCTTCTTTCCCACCAGGGAGTGGGGAGCTGGATAAGGAAGGAGGCCCGTCTGCCTGACACAGCTCTCCTCCCCCACAGAAACACAGTCTCCAGTCTCGGCTTCACCTTCTCTGCCTGTGTGACTTTGGGTGACACTGGAGGTGGCTTCATCCATGCTGCCTCGTCTTCAACAGTCAGACCCACCTCCCAATAAAGAAAAGCCCATACCAGATGGCTTCACTGGAATTCTACCAAACATTTAAAGAAGAATTAACAACACCAATCCTTCTCAAAGTCTCCCCAAACAACTAAAGGGAGCACTTTCTACCAAATTCAGTCTGTGAGGCCAGCACTGCCCTGACACCAAAGACATCACAAGAAAAGAAAATTACAGACCAACATCCCTTAAGAACACTGATGCAAAAATTCTCCACAAAATACTAACAAACTGAATTCAGCAGCATATTAGAAGAAAATTATACACTATGACCAAGTGGGATTTATTCCCAGAATGCAAGAATGGTTCAACATATGAAAATCCTTCAGTGTAATATACACCACATTAAAAAAATGAAGGACAAAAACCAGTCATCTCAACTGACACTGAAAAATCATTTGACAAAATTCAACACATTTTCTTGATAAAAACACTTAATAAACTAGGAATAAAGGAAACTTCCTCAACATAGTGAAGGGCATCTATGACAAGAGCACAGCAAACATCATATTCAGTGGTGAGAGACTGAAAGCTTTCCTTCTAAGACCCAAAACAAAGAAAGGATGCCCCTTTCGCCACCTGTATTCAGCACTGCACTCGAAGTTCTAGCCAGGGCCATTAGGCAATAAAAAGAAATAAAAGGCATCAAAACAACAGGAGAAGCCACCGCAGAGATTGGTTCAAGATGGCAGAGTAGAAGGACGTGCGCTCGCTCCCTCTTGCGAGAGCACCGGCATCACAACTGCTGAACGATCATCGACAGGAAGACACTGGAACTCACCAAAAAAGATGCCCCACATCCAAAGACGAAGGCGAAGCCACAGTGAGACGGTAGGAGGGGCGCAATCACAATGAAATCAAATCCCATAACTGCTGGGTGGGTGACTCACAAACTGGAGAACATTTATACCACAGAAGTCCACCCACTGGAGTGAAGGTCCTGAGCCCCATGTCAGGCTCTCCAACCTGGGGGTCCGGCAACGGGAGGAGGAATTCCCAGATAATCAGACTTTGAAGCCTAGCGGGATTTGACTGCAGGACTTTGACAGGACTGGGGGAAACAGAGACTCCACTAGTGGAGGGCACACACAAACTAGTGTGCACCTCGGGACCCAGGGGAAGGAGCAGTGACCCCACAGGAGACTGAACCAGACCTACCTGCTGGTGTTAGAGGTTCTCCTGCAGAGGCAGGGGGTGGCTGTGGTCCACCATGGGGACAAGGACACTGGCAGCAGAAGTTCTGGGAAGTACTCCTTGGCGTGAGACCTCCCAGGGTCTGCCATTAGCCCCACCAAAGAGCCCAGGTAGGCTCCAGTGTTGCGTCGCCTCAGGCCAAACAACCAACAGGGAGGGAACCCAGCCCCACCCATCAGCAGACAAGTGGATTAAACTTTTACTGAGCTCTGCCCACCAGAGCAACAGTCAGCTATAACCACCACCGGTCCCTCCCATCAGGAAGCTTGCACAAGCCTCTTAGATAGCCTCATCCACCAGAGGGCAGACAGCAGAAGCAAGAAGAACTACAGTCCTGCAGCCTGTGGAAGGAAAACCACATTCACAGAAAGACAGACAAGATGAAAAGGCAGAGGGCTATGTACCAGATGAAGGAACAAGATAAAACCCCAGAAAAACAACTAAATGAAGTGGAGATAGACAACCTTCCAGAAAAAGAATTCAGAATAATGACAGTGAAGATGATCCAGGACCTCGGAAAAAGAATGGAGGCAAAGATTGAGAAGATGCAAGAAATGTTTAACAAAGGCCCAGAAGAATTAAAGAACAAACAAACAGATGAACAACACAATAACTGAAATAAAAAATACACTAGAAGGAATCAATAGCAGAATAACTGAGGCAGAAAAACGGATTAAGTGAGCTGGAAGACAGAATGGTGGAATTCACTGCCGTGGAACAGAATAAAGAAAAACGAATGAAAAGAGATGAAGACGGCCTAAGAGACCTCTGGGACAACATTAAATGCAACAACATTCGCATTATAGGGCTCCCAGAAGGAGAAAAGAGAGAGAAAGGACCCGAGAAAATATCTGAAAGGATTTTAGTCGAAAACTTCCCTAACATGGGAAAGGAAATAGCCACCCAAGTCCAGGAAGCGCAGAGAGTCCCATAGAGGATAAACCCAAGGAGAAACACGCCAAGACACATAGTAATCAAATTGGCAAAAATTAAAGACAAAGAAAAATTATTGAAAGCAACAAGGGAAAAACAACAAATAACATAGGGAACTCCTATAAGGTTAACAGCTGATTTCGCAGCTGTTAACAGCTCATTTTTTTTTAGAAACTCTAAAAGCCAGAACGGAGTGGCAAGATATATTTAAAGTGATGAAAGGGAATAACCTACAACCAAGATTACCCTACCCGGCAAGGATCTCATTCAGATTCAAGGCAGAAATCAAAAGCTTTACAGACAAGGAAAAGCTAAGAGAATTCAGCACCACCAACCAGCTCTACAACAAATGCTAAAGGAACTTCTCTAAGTGGGAGACACAAGACAAGAAAAGAACCTACAAAAACAAACCCAAAACAATTAAGAAAATGGTAACAGGAACATACATATTGATAAGTACCTTAAACGTGAATGGATTAAATGCTCCAACCAAAAGACACAGGCTCGCTGAATGGATACAAAAACAAGACCCATATATATGCTGTCTACAAAAGACCCACTTCAGACCTAGAGACACATACAGACTGAAAGTGAGGGGATGGAAAAAGATATTCCATGCAAATGGAAATCAAAAGAAAGCTGGAGTAGTAATACTCATATCAGATAAAACAGACTTTAAAATAAAGACTGTTACAAGAGACAAGGAAGGACACTACATAATGATCAAGGGATCAATCCAAGAAGAAGACATAACAATTATAAATATACGTGCACCCAACATAGGAGCACCTCAATGCATAAGGCAACTGCTAACAGCTCTAAAAGAGGAAATCGACAGTAACACAGTAACAGCGGGGGACTTTAACACCTGACTTACACCAATGGACAGATCATCCAAACAGAAAATTAATAAGGAAACACAAGCTTTAAATGACACAATAGACCAGACAGATTTAATTGATATTTATAGGACATTCTACCCCAAAACAGCAGATCACACTTTCTTCTCAAGTGCACACGGAACATTCTCCAGGATAGATCACGTCTTGGGTCACAAATCAAGCCTCAGTAAATTTAAGAAAACTGAAATCATATCAAGCATCTTTTCCGACCACAACACTGAAGATCAGAAATGAATTACAGGGAAAAAAACGTAAAAAACACAAACACATTGAGGCTAAACAACACGTTACTAAATAACCAAGAGATCACTGGAGAAACCAAAAAGGAAATAAAAAAATACCTGGAGACAAATGACAATGAAAACACAACGATCCAAAACCTACGGGATGCTGCAAAAGCAGTTCTAAGAGGGAAGTTTATAGCTATACAAGCCTACCCCAAGAAACAAGAAACATCTCAAATAAACAATCTAACCTTACACCTAAAAGAACTAGAGAAAGAAGAACAAACAAAACCCAAAGTTAGTAGAAGGAAAGAAATCGTAAAGATCAGAGCAGAAATAAATGAAATAGAAACAAAGAAAACAATAGCAAAGATGAATAAAACTAAAAGCTGGTTCTTTGAGAAGATAAATAAAATTGATAAACCATTAGCCAGACTCATCAAGAAAAAGAGATAGAGGACTCAAATCAATAAAACTAGAAATGAAAAACGAGAAGTTACAACGGACACTGCAGAAATACAAAGCATCCTCAGAGACTACTACAAGCAACTCTATGCCAATAAAATGGACAACATGGAAGAAACTGACAAATTCTTAGGAAGGTATAACCTTCCAAGACTAAACCAGGAAGAAACAGAAAATATGAACAGAATTACTTTCAGTTTCAAGTAGTGAAATTGAAACTGTGATTTAAAATCTTCCAGCAAACAAAAGTCCAGGACCAGATGGCTTCACAGGTAAATTCTATCAAACATTTAGAGAAGAGCTAACACCTATCCATCTCAAACTCTTCCAAAAAACTGCAA